AGAGGAGAGAGAGAGAGGAGGAGAGAGAGCGAGGGAGAGGGAGGGAGGGAAGGGAGGGAGGGAGAGGGAAGGGAGGGAAGGAAGGAAGGAAGGAAGGAGAGAGAGAGAGAGAGGAGAGAGAGAGAGAGAGAGAGAGAGAGAGAGAGAGAGAGAGAGAGAGGAGAGAGAGAGAGAGAGAGAGAGGGAGAGGAGAAGGGGGAGAGGGGAGGGAGGAGGGAGGAGGAGAGGGAGGGAGGAGGGAGGGAGGAAGGAGGGAGGGAAGGAAGGAAGGAAGGAAGGAAGGAAGGAAGGAGAGGAGAGAGAGAGAGAGAGAGAGAGAGAGAGAGAGAGAGAGAGAGGAGAGAGAGAGAGAGAGAGAGAAGAAGAGAGAGAGAGAGAGAGAGAGGGAGGGGAAGGGGGAGGAGGGAGGGAAGGAGGGGGGAGGGAGGGAGGGAGGGAGGGAAGGAAGGAAGGAAGGAAGGAAGAAGAGAGAGAGAGAGAAGAGAGAGGAGAGAGAAGAGAGAGAGAGAGAGAGAGAGAGAGGAGAGAGAGAGAGAAGAGAGAGAAGAAGAGAGAGAGAGAGAGGAGAGAGAGGAGAGAGAAGAGAGAGAGAGGAGAGAGAGAGAGAGAGAAGGGGGGGGGCAGCCATAACTTCTCACGCCACAGATACCATTTGGGAAACAACCCGTCTCCCCATTTTTCGTCCTTTCCTTCTGTCAGACTTATGCTTTATTGTAACTTTTTTTTCCTGGAGTACCGTCACTCTCGACACCAAACATGCGCTGCTGATGAGTCTCTCCTGACTTCGTAGTTACGTTTCCTATATTCAGTAAGGAAATTCGGTGCGTCTGTCCTTTCGCTTCTGCCATCTACTCCAACACTCGTGATTCTCAAATCCATTACAGAGAATAACCTTTTCTAAGCTCAAGGTATCCTTCTAGGGAATTCAATGTGTGTTTCAGGAGGTTGGCTGATCTCGCCTTTCACAAGTATTAAGATTAGGATATACCAGTTTTCGCAGTTAAACAATTTGCTACACAGTTACCTATAAAAGTATATCAACGTATGCAGGTATATTTTTTACTCTTAATTTCACTTTGTTTTTGTATGTCTAACTTGATTCATATATCTTGGTACGTTTATTTTTTCTTTTCTAAATTGTCACTGCTACATCTCTAATTATCTCTGACTTCTCCCCGTTTTCATCTATTTGTCTGGCTATTTTTCTCTCTCTCTCTTTCTCTTTGTCTGTCTGTCTGTCTCTCTCTCTGCTTATTCATCTCTCTATCTATTTATCTATCACTTCTCTCTCCCTCCCTCTCTCTCAAATTCACTCTCCTACCTTCCCTCTGTCTCTCATTCTTTCTCTCTCTTACACCCTCTTTCCTTCTTGTCCTCTCCCTATACCTATAACTTTTTCTCTTCATCAGTATGTTAGCCTCACGATATATGTAACACAAGTTTCGCAGAAGACATCATTACCACCGTGCAACAAACGTCAAGACACACACACACACCATCTCCACATTCCGTCCGACTTTCTAGCGAGGTTTAATGCACCTTGTTCCAAAGCCGCCACGGATAGGAATGGATCCTACAAATCCTGATACCTACTTTCTTCCCCAGCCACTCATTCCAACTTAAACTCCTTAAGGAATCGTGCGAAATCTGTCTTTCTTACAGCTAAACACAACTTCTTCCCGAAAAGGCAGAGACGAGCGAATTTCTTCCTCGTGACTCTGACTCCTGCCAGTCTTCCCTCTCGCCTCTATTTCAGTCTGACAAAGCCTTAAAAACCTCCTCGGCTGACACAGGCAATATCCTTTCTCCTGCCAATTTGCTAGCTTTGTTATCCAATAAAGGTACTATTATACACAATTCCATGCTTCTGAATGAGTCTAAAATTTCTTTCCTTGTTAAACAAAGGTTGTCCAATCAGACAATAAAGGCCGATAATGTATAAAACCGTTAAATAAATAAATATATAAACGAAAAAAAACTAAACTGCGCAATTGTCTATTTTTAATAATTAACTTCCCAACTCTCGTTTTTTTTCGTGTTTTTTTTTCTTATTTGCATATCATCAAATCTCAAGCACTTATAAGTACTCTAAATAGCGTTCAGTGTAGTGCCTTAAGACGAATCTCCTAATACTGACTTCGTAAGGTAAGTTCCAGCCGAATTGCATAATTACTGACTTCCATTAAGTCGCGTCTCTCCTGGATTCATGGCCAGCCTTCGACGCTCCTCTTCCTCTTTGATCCGATTCCTTATTCTTCGCTGAAGATCCATATCGGATGCAATGGATATGCGGCCTCCCTCTCTCTTCGGCGCCTTTGATCTCCCCTCCAATTTCCTGTGTTATTTATTAGCTATCTATGTAGTTATTTATAGTATCTATTTAGTTACCTATTTGTCTTCTATAGGGTAGAGGAGTAAATTGTGATAATGTTGGTAACGGTTCATCTTCACTTAAAAGGAATTATAGAGTTTATTTATTTACTTGTTTATTAATCACTTTATCTATTCATTTATTTATTGTTTTGTCTATTTTGTCGGCGGGGCATTAAATTTCAGTTAGATTTATGAAAATCGTGATTGCCTATTAGTACAAAATGACAATACACATTCTATAATTAATTGAATTTATCAGCATCTCCATAATATTCTGTGAAAAAAAAGAAAAAAAAATGCAGTATCGAGACGCCTAAAAATGGACTCCATTTCCTGTCCAGAGCTTTTCATTTTTCCCTTTCCGCCCAGGCTTTGTACGCGCTCATACCATCTCTCTATAAAATACAGTGAATGTACTTGCGTCATTTAGAGGGAAGTCGTAGATCACATCAAGGCGGCAGATTCATCCGCCTCTAAAACACGTCATTCTCAAAGGTAACATTATTTCTCGTATTTCCTTTTCTTGGTAACACTCCTTTTTATCTCAAAATACATTATCTGCGCCTGGGCACTGACTGTATTCTGGATCTATTACTGTGACTTCTACAGTTTATCATAAAATCAAGAAGTCATTTTCGCAGATGTTGACATAATAGTCTCATTAATCACAGAACCAAAGAGCAATGGCCTCTTTTAGACAACATCAAACATCGATTATTTTCCTCCCTCTTCAGTCATTCGCCCTCCATGATGGATGGGACCAGGCGCTATTTGGATAATAGCCCTCCCGGCCTCGGCTTTAGACTGGCGTATAAGCTCTTCCTAAATTAACATTTTCATTACAAAAGGATATAGATCATGATTTTGAACACTTATTATACTGCCATTGCCATTGTGTTTATAATCATCTCTCTCTGTCTCTGCTACAAACTCTCTTTATAGTTATATATATATATATATATATATATATATATATATATATATATATATATATATATATATATATATACACATATACATATACATATATATATTATATATATTATATATATATATATATATATATCATA